CACCAGTTGGTTCAGTTGAGGAGGATAATTACGATTGTTTTTGTAGCTACTTTCCTTGAATTGAGGCAACGCGCATTGTGCCAATTGCGAAATTTGTTGTCTTCTGCGAATACTTTCTAGCTTGCAAAACTAGCTGACACCAGTGGCCAACTAGCAGGGGATCGGTGGCCGAGTGGGCTAGCGCACACCAGCTCAGAGCACCTGAAGCGAAAGCTAGCTCTGCAGAACCCAGAGATCTTGTGTTCAGTGGCTTACCAACTTGTTTTTGAGTGGGGGGCAAACCAAACCTCCCCCCTCCCCCCGCCAGGGCCGGTGGGCGCCCTTAGTATCCCTTGGGTGCTGCCGGCCAGTGTTTGCCCTGCCCAGTGGCGGCTGTTTCAGGGGGGGCAAAACACATGCCTTGCCCCCCACTCTGAGAACTGGGGGGGGGGGGGGGCAAGCACCCCCCTTGCCCCCCCCCCGGTTGGTACGCCCATGCTTGTGTTCAATCCTCACCCCTAGCCCGATTTGATCTAGACGAGCATCCTACTGGCGTGCGGTCGTGTACCACCACTGCGTGGTGCACGTAAAGATCCCAGGCTAGCAGTCATACTCACTGGCTGAATTACTCAAGTTGAGGCCTGAGCGAGCTGGTGTGACATACTTCGGGATATAAAAACAGTGCAAAAGGTGAAGGACCAGACAAAGAAGTAACCCGGTCATCTATAGTGGGCAGCAATGTCGCCATGTTCTGGTAGACCAAAACTCTTGTTGTATAAACAACTAACGACTAATTTGTCTTTTTGTTTGACCAACTAGCCAAAAATTTGCAGAAAGGTACTTCATAAAATAATATGATGAAAATATGAGCTCTCCACGTGCGAGTGTTGGTTTTTCTTGTGAATTTTACATAAACAACTTACCGTAAAATACCAGGCAAAGCGCCCTCTCAAACTTTGGAGATAATTAATCGCAAAAAAATGGGGGATGGGCGCTTGTCCGGTCATCAATTTTACATATATATGTACTAAGTGGCAGACATGTCTTTTGAGAATTATAAAAGAAATATTTGCCTTCATCAAAAGCTACAAATAAAGACGCTAATTTTTCTATAGGCACAGAAAGAAAAATAAGCCTTTTTCGTGCTCCTGAAAAAAAAAGAAAAAAAGTTTTTGAGTTTTGGGGGCATTTGAACAAAATATTTGAAAGCAAGGTCAGACGGATTTCCCTCCTGCCGCGTCCTTGTTTAGCTCGAACAGCCAAATAGCCAAGAAGAAAGTTTTTTTCTCAGAGGGAATAGCTTTGCTCTCTGTCAATAGGAAGATAAGTGTCTTTATTTATAACTTTTGATTGATGCCAGTGTTTTCTTAAATATTCTAAAAAAAAGATGTCACACTGTCTTAAGTGCCTTCAAGCCATTGGACCCACGCGGTATGCGCAATGTACATATGATGTGAATTACAATGTGCGTATATAAAGATGTTCTTAGCGGGACGATTGGCAAGATTCACGATTTAACGATTCACATTAAGTGTTTGACAATAGTACGCCTAGGCGATAAAAATATTATGTGTACATTAACTTTAGAGCGGACGTCTAGCAACGAAAATTTCCTATAATAACCAATATTTCTGATAGCGGCCAATCTGAAGAGGTAAGTGAATTCAGGAATTAATGTAATTTTAACCGCGACATGTTGGCAGTTCAAAATCAAGCACAGGTCTGGGAGAACTGTTTTTGCAATGTGAACTTGGACTGCAGTCTTTCATTGCAGTAGCCCTGTATTACACGTGGATGCTGGCAAGGGTGCACTGCAAGATACCGTTGTGTATTCGAGGGTGCACAAATAAACTAATAAAGAAAATTGTTGATATATCGTAAAAAACCTTGGGCTTGTTCACTGAGACTTGACGTTCAAAGACGCAGTCATTGCTGCTGTGAGTTGATGCATGGGTGGTGATCCTATGCGTAGCAGAGGAGGGGATCTCCAGCTAGGTTTTTTTTTCCATATCTGGATCCAGGCATCTTGACCTAAATTTCCCACTTCAGAGGATTCTTTTTTTTAATGTCCTGTGAGTAGATTGCTTTATTACTCACTAGAAGAGAACTGGCCACGCGGTACTGGCCACGGGCCTGGCGGTGAGCCTCCTTGCACACACTGCGTTCATCACTGCCATCAGTTCATCATTTCTTCACTTTGCAAAGTATCAGTATCTGTGGTGGCTAATCAATATCTTTAAGGGTGCTGTTTCACGCATTTGCGTCGAGTGCTACTTTAAAGGTTTAAACATAGTTCGACACAGCGCGGGTGCTATCGCAGTGCAGCGATGGTTATGAATCGCATATCTTAAATCTTGTGCTCTAAGACCCCTGAAAGGCGCGCGTGATCGGCAACGCTGCACTTGACATTGGGGACTTTTAGCAAACAGTTACCGTGTTCTGCATACCACACTACTGGAGCCTTGGAATCGCGCGCCCGGCAATCACAGTATCACTCCGGGCGAGCCTTTGCTTCAAAGGCTCCGGAATTGCGGTGCTCGGAACACGGTAACGGTTTGCTAAAAGTTCCTATAGAAGAGCCTTTACGACGAAACGATTGGTACGAGTAGGTGCGAGACGCTACGACGGGTTGCTATGACATCAGATCCGCTACGCCAGGGCACCCAAAACGAAACTGAATCTGATACCGCACACTGAGTTACTATAATATCTCTATGGTCTCGCATCAATCTTCCGAATGAAAGTACAATGAATATAAACACATATTTTATTGCTAATAACTGTGTGACACAAAATAAATAACCTTACTTAAAAAATTGTGATGCGTTTACGGAGGCGAGCAAGGGAATCATTGCCAAAACCGCGCACCGCCATCGGCATCATAAAATGGGCGCAATGTTGCATCATAGACGTGATGGCCACATGACCACGCTCCAAAAGTGTGGTACTGGTACTGCGCGGGCACCTGCGATATGCCGATATGTATATAAAAGCAGCTACAATCTCTCGAACTGCCTCTTTCTGCAGTATTTCATGCTACGATTGTGTCAAGATGCCTCCACCTGCATTTTGAAATGGCGTCGCGCAGTGTAACATAGTACAGCCATTGCGGCGATCGTAGACGCCGCTGTCTTGAAAAAACGGTCAGGTTGCAGTCGCACTCAGTATTGTCACAGTTTACGTGAGAAACGATGAATGAAGAAAAAAAGATAAAAATTACAGAAATCAAGGGGCGCGGCAGACGCACCGCAAGTGGGCTCATTTTCGTCTTCTGCGCATGAGAAAGGAGGCGCGAAGGCGGGAGAGGAGGTTGATGACGATTCCGGCTAAGCTCCGCCCTCGCACATGTCGGGGAGGCCGGGGGGTAAACAAACATCGGCGTCGGCCATGGCGGCCGTGCTGTAGCGGCGACCGCGAGTCTTTTATTTATTGTAGCCCGGTTAAAATTTGCCGAGTCCACAAGATCGAGCAGCTTTGTGCCCCTTACGATTCCTCCGTCGTCTGCTAGACGCATTTCGAAGATTCCAAGATGAAGACGACGAAGAGCATCATAGAGAAGGCGCTTGCCTAGCCTCGTGATTGAAACGCCGGTTGCGCCGGTCACTACGAGACCGCCGCCCGATTGTACCGGTAAGTTGCCTTTTATCTTGTTCTTCCTTTACGAAAACGACAGATTTTTCCTTCTAGCACGTCTTTAGAAATCTTGTGTGGCGGAGTCGATAGGCGCTATTAATCGAAAAACAGCCGAGAATGTAGCGTTTTCGCGATCCTCCGAAGCCCATCTTCGCAGGTGATATTTAGGAATATATACTCGTCATTTCGACTCGAAACTGCACGGAGGCCGTATAAACTATGTTCCGTTTCATTTTAAATGCGATCGAAGTTAAATCTACATAGGCAAGTCCCGAGCTTTGATCATAGCTGCCATGTGCGATCTTGCAGTGCGTTCTCGCGTTTGTAATTTTCGCTTCGTTCGCACTTAGATGAGACGCAGTATAGTCATACATCGTATTTGGTATAGTAGTTGCAGTCTACGGTTGTAATCATGGCACTGTAGAAAAGCACAGAGCTCAAAACTTACCACAAAAACGCGATCGTTTTTTTTTTTTTTTTTTCAGGAATGAAATTGGAATGGCTGTTACGTGTAATACAGTGAACCAACTCGGACAATACAAATTTGCCGTTTCACATTAGCCAGTATGAGCGAATTGCCAACGAATTACCGATGCCGCCTTTCTGCAAAATGTGTTGCGCAGTGTATCTTCGAACCACATCGACGCTGTCAGTGTCTGACGTGTTTTTGTGTGTCGCTTGTCTCCTTTTTCGTTCCCATACCAAGATGAAAATTCGGATATCGTGCACTATCCAAGCCTAGCTAATGAGCGCCCCATGGAATTGACACGGGAGTAAACAATGGCTAACATGTACATATTTTTGTTTTGTCCGCTCAGCAGACTGGGACTCAGTGTGTAAGTGACAAACTTTCTAACATCATTTGTCATTTCTAGGTCCCAGATGGGCTGTTGACATCCAGAAACACTCCAACAGATGGTGGTCATACAGCGGTTGTGAAGACAGTCCCATTTGGATCCACATTCCTAGTCCACTCCTGATGATCTCTCCTTGTTGCTTCAATGCCCAAGTATGCCAGGCACTGAGTGACTACTTGCATGTGTTAGTGATGGTGGCATGCGAGGCTTCAGTATTGTCGCTGCAGATAGGGCTCACCCTCACACCAAAGCTGTTGGTGGTGTACCTTTCCATGGAATTGTTTGGTTGATCCCAATTTCCTAGAAACGCCAATATTCAGTTTGGTGTGCCTTGCGGCTGAAGTAGATTCATCAAGGAGGTCTCGTCTCTTTCCTGGGGGTAATACCATGTCAGCTGCTTTGCCTGAGCCACTTGGAAACTGTTTGGACTGCTCTAAAGCACTTGTAATTGACCTTACCTGTTGTATCTATGCTAATGCTGAAATGTAAAGTTCACTGAACCAAGTTTTACTAATGAACCAAAACAATCAGTGGAAAGGATGAATGGCTTTATTTGTTTTCTCGAAGTATACACTGTTTCATACATAATACATGATGCTGGCAACGCTACTTTCATTAGCAGACAACTTAGTCTACACTCTGTTTCACAACAGCTTGGTGAACTGTGGAGGCTACGGCTCCTGCGACCCAGTAAGAATGTCGGAGCGAGGCACATGGCAGCATGTCACAGGAGCGTCCGTGTCACCGCGCCAAATGCAAGGACCACCCACCAGAACTGGCTGTCGTCTGCTCAGAAACCAAACAACTTCGGATGGACGTCCACTGCAGCAACATTACCGTCCGCTAGAGTAGCGAGGTCTTTAGTAACACTTTTATGAGGCAACCACATGCTCAATTTGCCCATGAATCTGTGGCGGGTGCTAATGCTAGGGCGATGTCTTGAGCGGAAGTGGTCGATTCATGGCTACGATTGTTTAAACATCGATCACAAGCCATGTTTTTCTCAAAAGTGTTGATCTATATTAAGTGTCGTTAATAAGTAACATTGTGTCGTGTCGTGTAGTGTTGCGGTCCGAAGAATCCGACGGCAACACTACTAAAAGAAGAAGAAAAAGAAAAAAAACAAAGCCTAGAACTATGTTCTGTCGCAGATGGTGCTCTTGCTGTGGCGATAACGAGTACTCGACTGTGGAGTGTTGTCATGTGCCTGGCTCCGATGCTCTTACTGGGTCGCAATGTTTGCCAAGTGACCGTGAAACGGAGTATAGTGTCTCACCTGTACACGCTATAAAACAAATGAGATGCCAGGTGTAGCCACTTTTGCAGCTGTAGCCCTTATATTATTGCTTGCTATGCTGTTTGGAAGAATACATAAAAAGATCAGTTGAAAGCCCAAATCTAATTTTTTGCACTCTTGCATGTTATGAAAATAAAAGCATCACGCCTGAACACCAACATCTGTCTCTAAATTATTCCTTGCTGAAATGAAAAATAAATATACTGTGAATATGAACCAATACAATCTCAAACATGTTTGAGAATGGATTCAATAAACAATTACTTCAATCTGCAAGCTTGAAATCAAGTATGCGTGTGCAATAAATACCCTGGTCTTTCGACTATCCCCATTGAAACTTGTTCTCGAAGGATAGGGACTTCGTCGATTTCACGGCAGTTCAAGCATTGGTCAGGCAACATGCTCGTGTTTATAGTTTCGGCTGTGCTATAGGAATAACAAAGGTGAGTTGTGTATTGCTGAGTCAAAGCAGAACTCTCAGGTCTAAAAGGCTTCTTAAAAATGCACTAAAGCTGGTTTTGACTTCATAATTACATGACTTGAACATAAATTACTCACTTCACCAAGTCTAAGGATTCACAAATAATCTGTGAACATGTATTCTGCTTTTATCTTCATTCACTTATGAAACTGGTTGCGTATATAAAATATCCAATCAGTCTTCCACACCTCCCCATTGCGAAAAGGAAGAGGGAGATTCGTTGGCTTTTTTTTTTCTCGCCAAAAAACAAAAAGAAAAGGAAGAGGTTTCAATGTGCACATTACGTTGAAGTGGGACAGTTACGGAAACAAATTTTGCATCTTCAAAGTTCATGAAGTAGGCAGATTACTTTCAAGTCATAAGAGAATAAAGTCAGAAACAACTTCAGCTCGCCTTCAATCAGATTTTCCCTTTAGATCCAGGGACGTTTCACCTTCATAAGGTCATCAGAACCAATTGGCATCCATTTAGGACTCTGTAATGGTAGATGCACTAGCTTGACCTCAAGGTCGCAGTGCCCTCCTTTCATGTGCTTGCCATGCGACCCCCTCGTGCACTTGGTCCCAGACGGTGAAGCTGGTGCTGGACAGGATGTCGTCCCCTGTAAAAGAGTCGTCTCAGTAGTCAAACGATCCGGTCCGGTTACACCCTGAGCAGCGTATTTGTCCTCCCATGCCATTACCAACTTAAAATCAGTGAAAGCCTATTTTGAAGCAACCGAATGCCTAAATGAACATGTCTATTCTATTCCCTTCGTACCAAACACCTGCCAGCATCCAAGGGATGCAAATCAAAATAAATAACATTGCCTTATTTGCTCTTTTGAGACTCGAACCAACTCAAACACTACCACAATGTTAAAGCTGCGAACTTCGAGGACACCTCTCCATATACTGAGATTACATGCTTGTCCCACTCCTGGCTTGTCCTCAGCAGGGTTGGCCAGCGTGTTCTCATACTCCTGGGTTTTTAGTCTTGGAAGTTAAAGCTTTGGTTTTTGTCATTGCTTGGTTGCTGGTAGATGCTGGAGGAAGCTCGCACTGTTACTTTGAAACATCAAGTTTACAAATTGAGCACTAACCCATATTGATGGCCAGATACAGAAGCTAGATTTGTCATGTCAAGGAGGTTGCCATAAAACAGTGGGCACGGGACTGAAATTAGCGGCGGAGCGGGCGACCGAGGCGCATTCGGGAGTATCGAAGAATACAAGTTGTGTGAGTTTGGCGCGAAACCAGGACGATCGGCCAGAGATGTGAGAATGTGGCGTCGAGAGAACTTCAGCCGGGCTGACTTCATGACTGTTATCTGAGCCACATTAACCAGAAGAGAAGAGAGAGTAACAAGTGAACGACACACTACGGCCGAGGAGGTAATTGACCAGGTTATTTCACCCAAGCACCACAGTAGTCATTTCAACGACAAAAAAAAAAAAAAAAAAAAGTCCAAACATCAGCACAGCAATACCAGCAGCGTGCCGAGGAATCGGGTTGTGTGTATATTTATACAGTTTCAAACTCGATCTGCCTCGACGGGCGATGACTCTCCCAGCTGTAGATGACCGCTAGCCTGGGGCCCTTAACGTGCATCACGTAGTAGTGATACACGACCGCACGCCGGTACAATGCTCATCCAGATCGAAACGGGCAAATGCGGGGCTTGAACACACGATCCTGGGTTCTGCAGCGCGAGCTTTCACTCCACACTCTCCGAGCTGGTGCGTGGAAGCCCCCTCGGCCACCAATCCCCCGTTGCCAAGGAATAACATATAATAAATGACAACGGTACAGTGATCTGCAAAAGGTAGCTTTTCAGTGCCTTGAGCAACCAGGTTGAGATAACGTGACACTTTCCTGCCATATGTGGCTTGCAAAATAGAGATGTATAAGTCATAAAGCAAGTAATATGAATTTTTTTTTACTAAAGATATCAGCATTTGTATTTGGCTTCCACAACTTCTGAAAGCTACCTCTGAGTGCATAGAGTGGTTTCTTTCATAATCTTACCTCCATGGAAAACTTCCCAGCTGGTAACGGGGCCGTGAAACGCAGACCCCCTGGAAGTCGCACAGGCGCCGAGGGCATTACACGAGGCCTGCAACATGTCCTCCGAGCAGAGGGTCCTTTCAGTAGCCCGGCAGCCGGTGGATTCTGTTGGAATGATGGGGTAGGGGGAACACAAGCACTTGCAGATTAACGGACCTAAGAAAACATGCAGGCAGGTACGAAAACATGCTACTCGCCCCCGCAGCATTTGCCTCACTGGCGCTTTATGGTGAAACAAATCAGCGGCGAGCGACTGATGGAACACGCATCAGAAGAACAGTGCGTCTTGAGTTGAACACCTTAGGACGGCGCTTTATCGCGCGCGTGAAGCGTTGGCTTAGCCAGGTTTTTTGGGGGCCGGGGGGGGATCTGGGGTGCGAGGTACTGAACCCCCCTCCCTCGCTACGCCACTGGCATGAAGTGACATCGGATGTCACTTAGACACGGCGCAATCACTGCTAAAATACGCTACCATCGAACACCGAGTCGTGACTGCGAAGTTTATGACCCACATACAGATATCCTACCACACTATCTGTTTGGACAAGTGGCATACAAACTGTCGCTGGGGGGAAAGACTAAAAACAGACGACTGCGCACTCGGCTCGGTCGTACCACACCGATCGCCTAATCCACTGCTTTTCCGTAACATTCCGTTTTACTTTGCTATACTCCTTTTGTTATGTACTGTCCGACAGGGGAGGCACTCACTTGATCGAATGACGTTTTAGCGAACGCCCACGTTTCATCGAACGACACTTTAGCGAATAGTCAGACGCCGCGAAGCGGCGTTTTCGGGTGGGCCAAGTGAGTTCATATTTTTGTAATGAGTTGCCGTAGACTGTCGCCGCGAAGCGGCGTAAAGCGCAGCGCGACGGATGGGTTAACGCGGGCCCCAGTTATTCGCTAAAACGACCATTCGCTCAAATGTCGCCTTTCGCTAAAATGTCATTCGCTCTTCTGATATGGACCCGAACTGTTTGTGAATGATGCGAAGTGTACATAGACGACGTAACTCACCTTAGCGAGCGCCATGGAGCGGTTCTCCGGGTGCCAGCGCTGCGGGAGATCGGCCTTCGAAAGCTCGGCAGCCCGTTCAGCTCGCCGAAGAGGGCTGCAGCTACACTTCGATGCTTTACGGAGACACCGAGACACTTTCTGACGAAAAAGGGTCTCCGCCAAAAAGTAGAAAGGCTCACTCGCGTCGCACATCACCGTGCTGACGTTGGGGGGGCTCACATCAACATTCGACCGCCGGAGACCGGGAAGCATATTGGTGCTTCGTATGCTCCCAGGGTAAATTCTTTCGCGTCAAACGAAGTAACGTACATTTCGAGGTATTTCCGGTCTCTTTTTTCCGTATGCCGCGTCCTCGTTCAAGCAGTAGCAGTGGATTTCTGAGAGCCACAGAAAAGGCCTTTCGCAATGGCTGCGGAGAAGAGACGACACCGCTTTGTTTACCCCCGAGCTCCCGCCCGGAGCCATCCTCCAATCAGAGCGCGGCGAGGTGACGTCACGCCACCGGCCTGCGCGAAAGAGCAGACGGCTTTCCCTCCGTATTCTCTGATCCGTCATTCGCTCAAATGAGCGCCGCCATTCGCTAAAGTGTCATTCGATCAAACGTAGGGAGTGGGGCTTCATTCGCTAAAACGTCATTTGATCAAGTGAGTGCCTCCCAAACGGCACGTTGTGTTCAATCAACAATGCTGTAAAAGGGCATTCTGCTCGGGCAGTATCATTGTCCGTTGATCAGCCATGGGATTGTTCGGCTGGGCTAGGGGGCGCGCTGGAGCGATACCACTGGCGCCGTGCCGTGGCGCAAATTCACCCTAATTAGCCATTCGCTCGTCCCATCGCGCTGCCAGTTGCAATGACGAGCACCGCGTTGAAGCTTTCGGTCGGTTAAAAAACTGCGATCATTTTCTAGGGAGGCGAACCTAGGCAAAGAAAGGTTGTCTGTGTGTCAGGTCTCCGGGATGGGGGAAATAATCCATGCATAGGAACATTTGTCGTTTGCGAAGTTTATCTCGCAAGTGCAAGGCAGAGTCGCTGTAACATCCGCCTCAAGATAAATATTGTTTTTCTTTATGGTTTGGCTAGCTTTTCAAAGACTGGGCTATTTGGACAAAGATGAGGTTGCAATATTGTTTAAATTGTCTTTTTGCACACAGCTGCGCTGTCGCATACACTCTTTGAACTCGGGTCAGTTCTCTTACAAACTCGGAGTTACCGGCTGCTGGAAGCATGCTGCGCCTGTTCTAATTCATCCGAATGAAGCTAGTGATGAGGCATGCTCAGCCTGACCGCTACACTGGGTCACACTCTTGAAAAAAACCGAAACGGTACGTCAATAAGGCCAACGCTTATCTGTTCCCAGGTATTTTGAGCAGGTCCAAACAACAAAATTAAATAAAATATTTATTACTATACGTCGCGACACCTTGCTGTGTTTGCGCATATCTATTGCTGCCGTTAAAGCGGTAGAATCGCAATTCATGTATGTGCGTCAATAACCCACTTATAATTTTATTAGTGAAGAGAGTGATCTCCAATCGACTGGCATGCGCGTCTTAAAGCGTCGCCTTTTTTTAGCGTATTTTTTATGTTACCTCGGAAGAATAATTTTGAATACTGTTGCGGTTCACAACTAATAAAAACATTTTGTGTCACTATTTGTTTTGTTTGCTGTTTAGGTGCAATTAAATTTGATATATCTTGAGTCTGTGCCAGGAAAGGATCGTCAATACCCCTTCACTCTCTCTCTGCAAGAAAAGATTATTCAATTTTAAATTTCATACCTGAATGTTTAGTTATTGTCCTATGTGACTTGCCCTGCCCAAGTCTTTTTTTTTTTTTTCTTTTTTTTTTTCTTGCTTTCAATTTATACATTTAACATTGCCAACACATGCTTATTGGTTGACCGAGGAATGCCCTAGGGTTTGATGTTTTAGAGTTCCTTGGAAAGAACTAGAGTAAAGCCGTCAGTGTAAATCTCTTTTCAACTATGCGCTGAAGTCAGTGCGCACCTTGCGGTTGAAGTTACGTATGCTGCAGCGCTGCCTCGCCGGGTGCATCATGCTCGCACGCTGTAGAAATTCGATAAGACTGAACATGTCCACCTGCACACCTAGCGCACCTTGCACCATGGTGCATGGCAACGACTGGGGAGGACCCGTTCGGCAATTTTAACTTTTGGTGCTACCTGGCTGAAGCAATTCAGAAAGAATGCGGATTGTCCAGCACCCATTCTACGCAATGAATATACTCCCCATGGATTGCCCCTCTCATGAAGGCGGCAAGGAGAAAGAGAGCCCTTTTTAAGAAAGCCTCAAACTATGTGTCCCATTGCTCTCCAGATTGTGAAGGATACTCGGCGTTTCCTGAAGTCCGCTATTCACGCTGCTCACCAACTCTATGGTGCAGAGTAGCCAAGGAAGTAAGGGATGACTCGAAGGTATTCCGGTCCTATGTGACCCGTTTTCGAGCACCTGGCCACCGTCCTAGCTTCAGCACAAGTGGGAGAGTGATTGACGCCCCAGGCGAAGTTGCAACGCTATTTGCAAACCATTTCTCATCTGTGTACAAAAGTGTGGTAGAGCCGCTGCACGGTAGCCCCACCTCCCCACCCACCGCTAGTGCACATGCATGCACTGATAGCGAAGACTCCCTCCTCGAATCAGTCTTCTTTACTGAAGAATCGCTGTATACCGCTATCTCCAAAGTCAAACCATTTCAAAGTCTTGGCCCAGATAATATGGCATCTGCTTTTTTCAACATAGCGCAACACACTCTGCCGTCGCTAGCCAAGGTACTGCAGGCTCTCCTTTATCATGGTGCCATCCTTCCACCTGCCGATGTGCCCTTGTCACGCCCATACTCAAGGATAAGGGGAAGACAATGGATGGCGTGCAACAGTGAACACTATCGCCCCGTCTCCATAACATCTATTACATGCCGCACCTTCGAGCGTGTTGTCAACACCCACAATCTTGACCTCCTGGAGCAAACTGGATACCCGTCACAGATGCAACATGCCTTTCACCACAACTGTAGCTGGGCCTGGCGACCCTGACCCACTAAGTGAGCAACAACCTCGAGGAGATGAGCCTTATCCAGCTAGACCTCAGTAACGCCTTCGACACCCATGACACTGGCGTCCTTTTAAACAAAGTGTCAAAAACGTGTGCAGTGCTCTCTTTTCAAGTGGATTATCAACTTTCCAAGAGACCGCAATCCACAAGTTGTCTACCGTGGTGCTATCTCGTCCAACATATACCGTGAAATACCGAGCAAGCGCCCACTCAAACTTTGGAGACAGTCGCAAAAAAATGGGGGATAGGCGCTTGTCCGGTCATCAATTTTACATATAAATGCACTGTGCATATTTTTTCAGATCTCAAATTTGGTAATGGGCGCTTAATGTGGAATGCACGGTATTCTACGGTAGGTTCACTCCGGTCTGCCTCAGAGATCGGTCTCAGCCTTCACCTTATTCCTAATTTTTGTTAACGACATGCTCCAAGATGACAAGTTTCTCCTCGTTCAATATGCAGACAACATTTCAATCTTGGCCGCACTTGATTCGCCTGCCACGCACATTCATCTACAGAACTGCCTTACCAAAATTGGGTGCTGGGCAAAACAAAACCACCTACAACTGAGTCCGGTTAAAAGCTATATGATGCACTTCAGCAGTTCACACAGTGTGGAAAATCCTATGTACCATCTACGTAATGTTCCGATAGCCGTGCGGAACTCATTAAAAATACTTGGTGTCACTTTTACACGAAACACTCATCTTCTCTGTCCACGTCACTGGTACTGTCGCTAAAGCCTGTTGTACTATGGGTTTTGTCTCCCGTGTGTCCAAGCCATGCAGCCCTCTGGCTTTCAGCACGCCGTACACAGCGGTCGTGCTGCCCACGCTGGAATACTGTAGTGCGGTGTGGTCTCCTTCCCAACACCATCTTGGGGCTCACATCGAGAGTGTCCAAAGAGGAACTTGCACTTCATGTGCACGAGCTACAGGGGCTAACCAGGAGCAGTACGGGAACCGGTTGAAAATTGCTGAATGGCAATTCCTCGAGCAATGAGGGAGCATCGCCCGTACGCGTCTGCTGTGCTGCGTGTTGCGGCTCCCTATCTGGAGCCTACCTATCCACAACCGCACGTGTGAACAGGCGTACAGGCCAACCTGAACAATTGCACTTTCGTATGGAGAGAGACGGAATGACATACACTTATCCTAGCAAATATCGGGGAGTTCCGCTGAGGGAACGTCAGCCCCTACCACAGGACAGAGAGGAGTGCCTACGGTTATGTAAGTGGTATGGCCACCTCTTGTTAGCAAGGGGAGGACCATGATGCTCCAGGAGATTACACAATGTACAGCATGTTTGCCTGGGTGTGTGTGCATATGTGCATGGATATGTATTCATGTGGATATCTATATCTGCATGCACGTGTGTGTGTGTATATGTATATATGTTTGCATGTGAGGGCTGTATATTCTTCTAATCATGTATATATTATAGTTACTAAATATTTTAATCCACTCAGCAGTGGGCTTGTAGGTGCACCTGCATAAGGGACCCAACCTTTCTGCCTAGCCTTGCTCC